AATCGCCATTTTTCGCTATTTACGCGGGTCTTCACTATATCAGTGGACTCACTTATCAAATTAAATGACTGTTAAACAATCAACTTATTGTTGGTTACAATTGACTGAAAATTGTGTTAGATTGCTTGAAAATTAAAATCGATTTGTATTGAAATCGATTTTTTTGTTTTTCACGGTTTTTCGCTAAACGCTGTGGCTTAGAAATAAAATTGAAATATTTTTGAGCTCGCCATGTAAGTGACCTACATACTGTGTTTAAACGAAATCGCAAGAAAAAATGTTGCATTAATCGATGATTGATCGGATGTATCGATTATTGATTTTTTAATTGTTTACACTAAGAACCTATCTCTTACATAGAACAATGTATGTGCCAAGTTTGGCCAAAATCAGCTGGATGGATCTCGAGTGAAAATGTATCACACAGACAGACAGACACACAGACATCCTCTGTTATATATATATATATATATATATATATATATATATATATATATATATATATATATATATATAGAGAGAGAGAGAGAGAGAGAGAGTTGCATCTAATCTTTGCAGTAGGATCGACTGTTGCATACTGCCCCCCCACAAAAAGACCAAAAGAAAACAAAGCAAAAAATGTTCTTGAATATGTTTGTGTTCGATTACTTACCAAAGGTAGTTTCCTTTTCACAATCGTACGATAGCTGGACACCGATCAGAATCGAGCTTAGTGTACGTAACGAATATTTTTAATCAATGTGCTACGGTAGGCTCTGTAATTAGATGAGTTTTTTTTTTGCACCTCACATTACCTTGGCAAATACACGGGCAGAAAACAGTATTTATACACAAAGGCTCAAACTAACAAAATAAATAAAAGACTAAAGTAACAAATATATAAATAACGGGAAAAAAACCCGGGAAAAATGTAAAATAAAAAAAAATAAAAAATGTAGATTATCTCCTAGGGGCTGTGTAGGACGATCGAGAAACCAGGAACGATAACTCCTCCCTAATGCAATATGTCGTCTCATTATGCTTCATTGCAACATATTTCTCGTGTAATTGATACATCTTGAGGGCCTTTTGGCGGGCGTTTTTGCGCATGTGTGAGGAGATACCGATTGGTTGAAAGTTTGGTGGGACGACAGAGACGTCGGGGAGAAGAGAAAGAAAAAGACAATTAAAAAAAAGACCCCAACCAGGGAAATTGGAAAAACATAGTGACTGGGAAAGAAAACCTAGAGATAAAGAGGTATAAAAGTGTGGGAAAACTAGAGGGAGAGAAAGAAAGTAAGAAAATCTGAGGGGGTGAAAGAGAGTAAGAAAACGAGAAAGCGAGGAAGAGAGTGAGAAAGAAAGTGGAAGAGAAAATGAGTGAAAAAGGAAGAGATACATACAGAGAGAGAGAGAGAGAGAGAGATTAAAATAGTGGAAGAGAAAGAGAGTGAGAAAGATATATATATATATATATATATATATATATATAAAGAGAGAGACAGACAGAGCGATAGTGAAAGACCGTTGAAGAGAAAGAATGTGAGAAAGAGAGAGATATAGGGAGAAAAAGATAGTGAAAGAGAAAGAGAGCGAGAAAGAAAGAGAGAGATAGTGAGAGAAAGATCATGGAAGAGAAAGAGAGAATGAGAAAGAGAGAGAGATATAAAGAAAATGATAGTGGGAGAAAAACAGTGAGAAATAGTGAGAGAGAAAGGGGGAGAAAGAGAGTGAGAAAGAGAGAGAGCGAGAAAGATAGTGGGAAAGAAAGAGAGTAAGAAGGAAAGAGAGAGATAGCGAGTGATATAGATAGTGGGAGAGTGAGAAAGAAAGCGAGATATATAGAGAGAAATGTAGTGGAAGAGAAACAGAGTGAGAAAGATTTATATATATATATATATATATATATATATATATATATATATATATATATATATATATATATATAGAGAGAGAGAGAGACAGACAGACAAACAGAGAGTGAGAGAGAAAGGTAGTGGGAAAGAGTGACATAGAGAGCGAGAAAGATAGTGGGAAAGAAAGAGAGTAAGCAGGAAAAAGCGAGATAGAGAGCGAGAGAGATTGTGGGAGAGAAAGAGAGTAAGAAGGAAAGAGTGAGAGAGAGCGATATAGATAGTGGGAGAGTGAGAAAGAAAGCGAGATATATAGAGAGCAATGTAGTGGAAGAGAAACAGAGTGAGAAAAAAATATATATATATATAAAGAGAGAGAGAGAGAGAAGTGAGTGAGTACATTATTATTGATAACATCATTGTTTCCTCAATCACATTAATTTTTTTTGTTTTATTGCATTTTTACCCTGTCGTAAACCCACGCTAAATTAGTTTTTTGCACAGAAATGCTTTGTTCAACCTCAGAAATGGAGACTCTGCTCCAAGAACTCTGTTGCACTCGATGGAACGTTTTTTATTTCTTCTTTGATTACTTGTTTCATTCCTTATTTACCATTTTCTTTCTGAATTTGTTTTCTTTTATTTTTCTCTCTTATCTTTCTTTTATATTTCTGTTGTGTTGTCATTATATTCTAATGCGCTTTTTTTCTGTCCCTTTTTTGTTGTTTAATATTTTCTCTCGTTATTTTTCCTTCATGTTTTTCTTCATATTCTCGTTCGTCTGTCTTCGTTTCATTTTTTTTACTCATATTTTTTTCAATCGTTTCTTTTCATTTTCTTTTTTCTCTCTATCTTTTTTCTTTCTTTCTCACATTTAGTTTTGAATCTTTCTTTATAACTTATATTTATTGCTTGCTTTTTTACAGTTTTCTCTCACGATCGTTTGTCATTTCTTTATTTTTAATCCTATTACTCTTTATTTGATTTCTTTTTTTTTTTCTTTTTGTCTTCATTTATTCTGCCTCGGTTTTCCTTTAGTCTCTATATTCCATTGTTTTTTTGTTTGCTTGTTTGCTTCTTTCTTTCTTTCTTTCTTTCTTTCTTTCTTTCTTTCGTCTATTTAAATATAATCTTTTCGTTTCCTTAATGTTATTTTCCAGCATTCTATTTAACTTGCCTTGTCTTTTCATTATTTTATCTTTTTTTTTTCAGATGTATAGTTCTTTCTTTCTTTCTTTCTTTCTTTCTTTCTTTCTTTCTTTCTTTCTTTCTTTCTTTCGTCTATTTAAATATAATCTTTTCGTTTCCTTAATGTTATTCTCCCGCCGTCTATTTAACTTGCCTTGTCTTTTCATTATTTTATCTTTCTTTCTTTCTTTCTTTCTTTCTTTCTTTCTTTCTTTCTTTCTTTCTTTCTTTCTTTTTATTCTTTATTTATTTATTTTTCAAACATATTTCTTTTCTCTTATTTCCCCTTCGTTCATTCTTTCTTTCTATTTCTTTATCTTACTTTTTATGTTCATATTTTATTTTCCTTCTTTTATCCTTGATTTTCCCCTTCGTTATTAATTTCATGTTTCTTTCTTTCTTCCTTTTTATTTTCGTTCTCCCACATTTTTTCTTGCTTTTTATTTCTTGAACTTGTGATTGCATTTAAGTCTAACCTTTGACTTTAACCTTTCTTTTTTAATGTTCTTTTCCCGCCTTCCATTTACATTTGCATCCCTTGTTTATTTTCCACTCAGCTTCTTATATACATAATTTATTTGTTCTTTCTTTCTTTTTCTTTCTTTTTGCATTTAACTCCATCTGCTTTTAAATTTCACTTTCGTTTTTTACATGTTTCTTTCTTTAGTTCTTTTTTTTTTTACCGTATATACTTCCGACCTGGGTAAGAGGATAAAATAATTCCACTTCTTGGTAAAACGACGAACTACATCCGAGTCCTGTGTACGATGATAGAGAACGTCCGCGTCCAGGGTAAGACGATAAACTACATCAGTGTCCTGTGTAAAAAGATAAACTACGTCCGATGTAAGAACTCTGAACGTGGAACCACCTCATAATTGCTGGTGTTCCCAGGTCCACCCTGACTCGGTTTGGTAATATCTGTTAGGGTTCCAACTATCGGCAAATAGGATGGGCTGATAAAAAAAAAAAAATTTGAAAGTGTAAAAATTAATTTTAATACAAGAAATACTTTGTAAAAAAAATATTACCAGCAATAAATTTTTGAGGAAAAATTATTACCAACAATACATTTAAAAAAAAATACCAGCAATAAAAATATAGTCGGTATTACATTGTGATTGATATACAGTAAAACAAATCAAACCAAACCGCGCCTTAAAGTTACGTATTTTTCATCAGCATAGATAACTTAAGAAAGAATACATATTCTATTCATACGAACCTATCCTAAAAATCTTGTCGGCATTAAATAACCCATTGAGGCTGATATGCCGTAAATCAAAATAAACCAAATTAAAGAATACATATTCTATTCATACGAAGCTATCCTAAAAATATTGTCGCCATTATATAACCCATTGAGACTGATATGCCGTAAATCAAAATAAACCAAATCAAAGAATACATATTCTATTCATACGAACCTATCCTAAAAATATTGTCGCCATTAAATATGCCTTTAAGGTGTTGATATACCGTAAAAAAAAACAAACAAAAAAAGCAAACCAAAACATATGTACTCGTCTATAAACAGGTTTCATGTATAATGCGACCCTTGATTTTTTTTTTTTTTTGCATGCATTTTGTCACTCCCAGAAAAGTACCCTTCTGCCGTGCAACCGGTCACCGAAAATTTATGACTTTTAAGTTCTTCCAAAAACCTGAATTGTTTATTCCTTTAATTTTTGCATAAAAAAACGGATCCGTGCATATAAACAATTTTTTCGCTTGTGATTTTTCTATATTTTATATTTATTTTTTTCTATTTTATTTTTACTTACTTACGGGTTCTGCCATTTTCATTTAATTTCTGTCAAACTTGAAATGTTATATTTCCAGTGAAACGCTACCTTACTTATGTAAGTACAATAGATCTATATCATAAAAAAAATAACAGTAGTTAATATTAACCAGCTTTTAGCGAGTAAGCAGTAACAATCCTATCTTAAAAGGCGAGAATTTTAGTCATTTCATCCAATGGGGTTAGTAATACGCAGATTTCACCTTCTTATTCCAATAAACGATGACAACCGACCACAAGGTGTCCCTAGCAGGGTGTACTTCTATCATCCTTGAGTGGATCTCGAGCCTTGTATTGGTTGAATTCTAGAATTAAAAAAAAAATAGTTACAACCAAATTATTTTAAGCAGGTGTTCATCGTATGACCTATTTTTTTTTCAAATCTGAGGATTAGGTGAAATCCTTTTCCGCCTCACCTGTTATCCTCTTCGGCTTCACCTGTTATCCTCTTCCGCCTAACTTGCTATCATCTTCCGCTTCATCTGTTATCCTCTTCCGCTTCACTTGCTATCCTCTTCCGACTCACCTGCTATTCTCTTCCGCCTCACTTGCTGTCCTCTTCCGCATCACCTGTTATCCTCTTCCGCCTCACTTGCTATCATCTTCCGCTTCATCTGTTATCCTCTTCCGCCTCACCTGTTATCCTCTTCCGCCTCACCTGTTATCCTCTTCCGCCTCACTTGCTGTCCTCTTCCGCATCACCTGTTATCCTCTTCCGCCTCACTTGCTGTCCTCTTCCGCCTTACCTGTTATCCTCTTCCGCCTCACCTGTTATCCTCTTCCGCCTCACTTGCTTTCCTCTTCCGCCTCACCTGTTATCCTCTTCCGCCTTACTTCCTGTCCTTTTCCGCCTCACCTGTTATCCTCTTCCGCCTCACCTGTTATCCTCTTCCGCCTCACCTGTTATCCTCTTCCGCCTCACCTGTTATCCTCTTCCGCCTCACTTGCTTTCCTCTTCCGCCTCACCTGTTATCCTCTTCCGCCTTACTTCCTGTCCTTTTCCGCCTCACCTGTTATCCTCTTCCGCCTCACCTGTTATCCTCTTCCGCCTCACCTGTTATCCTCTTCCGCCTCACCTGTTATCCTCTTCCGCCTCACTTGCTGTCCTCTTCCGCCTCACCTTTCATCCTTTTCCGCCTCACATGTTATCCTGTACCACCTCAACTGCTATCCTCTTTTACCGCTTTTAATCATTTCATCGCAAGAAAGGCGCTAAAACAACTAAGACGCAAAGGTTGCTGAAAGTGAAGGGACCCGGAAAAATGTTATTGGTGAGAAAAGTCAATAAAAGGATATGTTTCCCCGAGACAGAAAATTACGTTGCATTTCAATTTTTGAATATCGTGATTAACAGGAGAGCAAGTCGGGGAAGAGTTTCACAAATTGTACCATGTTTATCAGGAGAGTTTTTTTTTTTCAGGTCTGACACACTCGAGTATGAGATACGTAAAGCTTAGCGCTCTAATATTGGCCATATAGCAAAGTCCCTAGGATTAATGCCAGACCTTGATGGAAACCAAATTGAAATGTTTCTTGCATTTGTTCAATGTCAAATGGTATGCGCGTGTGCTCCGTGTTCAGTGACGATTCCAAATATGTCTGACAAGCAGGGTAACACCTCTCTTTCGCATAATTGCTGGTAATCTGTTTCGCTCAGTCTTAAATGAACACACGAGGTGATTTCGTGTCAAAAGCAACAGAAGACCAAACCATGATGTCCGTTGTTTACGGTTTCTTAAATGCGTTGTCACATTCGGAAATATGTCTTGGTTAAGTGACGTAATCGTTTTGCTAGTAGATCCCTTCCTCCACAGTAAAAAAAAAAAAAATCTCTTTATCCCAAAATAAGAATTAATCTACAACAATCCTCTCTGCCAAGCCGTTTTTTTAACTTGGAGGGACTTGAGAGTATTTGTTGGTGTTAGTCCTAAATTCTAAGTCAAAGTCCTTCTTAACCTTCTATAAGAAATATTCCATTTTACTAATGCTTCCTTCGTCCTGGGTACAACGATACACTACTTCCAGCATGAAAGCCTCTGATAGGAAGATTGGAGGTTATCAGGAGCAAAGAACCGCCTGTTGGTTGCAGTTGTTTCCAGTTGTTCCCTGAACCGGTGTGGTAGCACCTGTTAGGGTTCTCTCTATGGGCAAATAGTGAAGACCCTAACAAAAACAAAACGCGATGAAAGTATAAAAACATATATTATAGTAAAAATACCAGCAATACATTTTTAATATTAAAATTTTAGAATAAGCGTTTTTGAATGTTTTCTATTATATTATTATATTTGCATAAAAATATATCATTCCGGGATTTGATGATAAACTACATCCGGCAGCAAGGCCTCTGATCGGGAGAGCGAGGAAACATCTCTTAATTGCTGTTGTTCCCAGGTCTGCACTTTATTTTTTATAGTAAAATTGCCAAAAATATATTTTATTATCAATGAAAATATGTATATAAAAAAACATACGCTTACCCTGCAAATATAGAATTACATACAGATTACGTGTAGCTGAAATCATAAAATTATGTAGAAAATATTTAAATTTCGTGGATTAAATAACCGAGAAGAGGTTGATATGGTGCTAAACAAAATCATGAATTTCTCTGCTTGTTCTTGACGACTTCAGTGACTTTCCTGGGACGAACTGAAAGGTTTCTTCCTGGAATTGCATTTGGTGAAGTCGTTTTCTGCGACTGAATCTTCTTTTTCACAAATTAAAAACAGTTTTCCCAAAAAACATTCAAATGTTTTATCACATCATATTACTTTTCACCAACCATTTACAAAGCAACAATTTGATTTTTTTTTGAAGGCATATTTAATTAAACTGAAAGAAGTAAAGCCAAAAATATGTATATATATATTTTAGAAAACCTTATGTAAAATTTGAAGCTATTTTTTACGAATAGGTATGTTTCAGGTTTATGTTGAGATAACGGGTGTCTTTTTTATTGTTTAAATAATGGGTAAATATGTGTGACGACCGCGGTACCTCAACTGATCATCTGCCTTGGAAACAGCGCAAGAATAGCAAGAGTCTATCAATGTTTCATCTCCATAAAATCGGTTGTAGGATTGGAAGTAATTCATCACTCACAAGGCCGCTTAAAAAGCGTTTGAACTTGGTAAATAAAGCTAAGTCAGTGGTATTTTCCGGCTTACAAGGCGCACTTTTTTTCCTATTGCAAGACGAATGTAAGGAAACACTCAGGCTCAAGTAAGCTTAGACGGTCACCTAATTGGCTTGACTGATAGGGACGTGGATTTATATGTTGGGTCATTACACTATAATGTTAGCTATCTATCTAATTCACTTGTATGATATAACCTTAGTAGTTAGCTGTTACAAGGTTTTTCAAGAATATAAATCTTCCTGGAGCCGAGCCACAACTTAAATATGCTCTGTTTACGAGCAGCCTGATTCTTTCTGCTCTTGACTATTATGTCTTTGACATACAAACAAAATTGTACGAGTGATGAATGTAAACAATACGTGGCGCCTATACGTGAGGGACGTATGGTGAATGTGTTGTTGTATGAGAATGACGTTGTTTATTTGTCAATCCGACGCTTGTTATGCTATAAATACTATAACAATGCTTTTATTTCAATTCTATTTCTTCTATTACTTCCATGATTGGAATATTATCTTTCATCCCTGCTTTCCTCCTCTAGACCAGTTGTTCCCAGTTTTTTTTTTCTCTGGGTCGCATTTTCGGAATGAAAATTTGCTAGCGCCTCACCAAATTTTATATAATAAAAAGTACACCTAAAATATACAAAAATAGATAATGTTAAAGTGAGATAACAACGGATTCGAAATCAGACCCTAATCATTGATAACTCACTCCTCTCATTTACGGACCCTAGTTACTATATTCTTAATACTCGATATAATGCAAAATATTACAATGATAAAATCGGTCAATAATTATTTATAACTACTCAAACTAGGACTCATGCATGCAATTACAAGTAATCGGAAATCATATTTTAAATTTGAAATCATAATTATTTTTAGTATATGAATTAAAAAAAACTGTTCAAACATTCTGCGTCACTTGCTATCCTCTTCCGCCTCACCTGTTATCCTCCTCCGCCTCACCTGTTATCTTCTTCCGCCTAACCTGTTATCCTTTTCCGCCTCACCTGTTATCCTTTTCCGTCTCACCTGTTATCCTCTTCCGTCTCAGTTGCTATCGTCTTCCGCCTCACTTGATATCCTCTTTCGCCTCCCCAGTTATCTTCTTCCGCCTAACCTGTTATTCTTTTTCCGCCTGACCTTTTCCGCATGACCTTTTATCCCCTTCCGCCTCACCTGTTATCCTCTCCCGCCTCACCTGCTATCCTCTTCCACCGCAACGATGACGAAACCACTGATCTACATCATCTTCTATTCAAACTCTTATTTTACCTCCTTTCTTCTGCTGTAAGTCACCTTATTCCCAATTCGTGGCTCTTTCTGCTGCTTTTCTTCTTACTTTCTCACTTTTAGTTTTCTATCTTCATTTATCACACAAAAAATATTCCCTCTTTTTCCTTTTTTTCTCTCGATCGTTTTCTTATTTCTTTATCGTTTATCTCTTTTTCTTTTGGCTTGATTTCTTCTTGTTTTTCATTCTTCTCTTCCTCCATTCCGCCTTAG